CTGCAGTGTTTAGGTCTGCATACATGAATTTAAGGATGTGTGTGTGTGTTTGTGTGTCTGAAAGTCAGAGAGATATTAAATGAGTCTGCGTTTCAGTGAAAAGCAAGGTATAAAATAATTCATACTCTGAACAGGTTTCTCTTATCATATTAATAAACACGTCATCAACAGATAATTATTTGGCGCCTGTCGAACTAAAAATGAATTTCCTATCTTCCGAAGTTTACTGAAGATTAATAAAAGCCAAGAGATAGATAAATATATACGTAATACACGAACAAAAAAAAGAACATAATATTCCTAGTTCTACAATCTCAATACAATCAAACCTCAATATCAGAGATTGAACTGTGAGTTTATAGCTGTTTCATGCCTTCATCGGTAATCCAAACCTAACATACATACCTAACATTTGTCTATATTTCTGAGATGAGATATTTTAATTATTTATATTGTTCGAACTGTTGTCCTCATCTTTATTGCCATACACGCGACGGCCGTTGTACCCTCCCCTCCGGACTTCTTCAGGAAGTTATTGGAATTTCGTCCACCAGGGGATTTTGTTCCATGCCTCATCCGGATGGCTTTAACTCAACACGCCATGTTTTTGTTTACAAGTAGTCAGGTATTGAACTCACAGCTGTTTGTGTCAAGTGACTGGATCCAACCAACGCTTTTATAAACGTGTGCTTGAGGACGTCTGTACATGAACTTTTGGGACTTAATGTCTCAGTACCGGTTTTTACCAGAGCTCATACTGGAATTTTTGTTGTTATTATTGCTTATCTCTAGCACTCTGTAATATTGGTTCCCATATTCGCTCGACGAAATAAAGGGCTCAGTTCGAAATTCCAATCAGCTGAAAAAGTATAATGGACATACCTAACATTGTATATCAATGTAAGTAACCATAAAAAATAAAATATACTTTTGGACTGTGTTTGTGGTAGAGTACAGTGTGTGATCAAGAGAGAGAGAGAGAGAGAGAGAGAGATGAGACACAAACAGATATATCAGGCGCGCTCACGCGGGTGGGGAAATTGGGTTGTTTTGTCCCGCGTGCAAGCAGCGTGTAAGCTCATACTTTTTGTAGAAAGTGTAAACAGATTCCATAGCTACTGGGGCACCTGAAAGCATAAATCTGACGCTCTGCTATTTACCTACCTGAAATAAAAGCGTATATATATATATATATATATATATATATATATATATATATATATATATATATATATAAAACTTGAAGATATATATATATATATATAAAAAACTTGAAGACGAAATAATTGTTTGTCGACCGAAAGATGTTTTTTTGAATATTTGCTATTATTGACGGTTGTGTACGAAGTTTTTCAAAATTTTAAGTGAGAATTTTATTTAAATATTTCTTGTGATGTGTTAAATCCACGATTTCTAATTTTACAAGTGTATTCAGTTAATATGTCATGAACTAAGCATATAGTTCAATAAGATAGTGTAATATCATAGTAGTAGATTTTCTTTTTATAGGAATTTTCATGTACTGCGGATCGATAGTTTTTTTATAAACATAAAACATTAGGCAGCATATAATTTACATTCAAAGAAATAACCACATAGAATCAATCAGAAATATTAATGCAATTATTGGCGAAGTTTTTGATTTTATAAGGAAAAAAAAACAACACATGCCTGATGATGAATAGAAGACTATTCGTAAGTACTAGCATTTTAAGAACACATAAACTGGAAACAACAGACATCAATTTTATAGACGAGGATAACTTCACTCTATGGATTAACAGTATTTTAATGCATACATTATACTACTAGCGATGGATGTCGCCAATAATAGCATTAATATTTCTGATTGATTCTATGTGTGATTATTTCTTACACACACACACACACACACACACACACACACATATATATATATATATATATATATATATATATAATCACAACCTTGTGGGAGCAGATTAATAATGGAGGACAACGTAAAAAATTGTTAAAACCACAAGGATTCACAGCAGATTCGACTTCAGTGAAGAAAAAGGAAATTCATGACTAACAGAAATTGGTAACAAGTCGGAGATGCAACACCGTCTGAACATCTAAAATAAACTTAAGACATTGTATAAAGGGACTATGCATCTACCAAATAATAATAACAAATTTATAAACATTTCTATGAATTAACAAACAACTAAAAGGAATTACTCAACCTGGGACCCAATTGTCATCTTTACAGAAAATAGATTATATTAGATAAAATGAAAACTGAATTAGAAATGTATCAAAACATAAAAAAATTAAAGAACTGCAGCTAATAAAAACAAAACCAGAAATCCGGGACCTACTTAAATAAAAGATAGGCATAATAACAGGAAAAAAACAAAACACCCTTGAGCTTTTATCAAAAGAATTAAAAGTTGCGATCAACGAACTACACCAATATAATAGTTAAAAATGCGGATATAACCAATATCTTCGTGATATTAAAACAAATCCGATTCTTATTCAAAGATGCAACTGGATGATTACACCAAATTTAAAAATGTTAGCAAAAGTACGATCATCCAACTAAAGACAAAAATCAACAAATCAACTGCCAGTAATGTAGCATTGCATAACTTAAAACTTCCTAAAAATAATTGGTGACTACAAACGAAGATAAATGTATGGAACTATAAAAATACACAAACCTAACTTTCTTCTCTATTCTATCATATCCAAAACCTGTTTACCAACCAAAGTTATTAATCAACTAATTCCACCATCATTCTGAAAACACAAAAAATAAGATTATATTGGGATAAAATGTATTATTTTGAAACTTTTCCTTTTGTGTTTATATAATCCTTTAGTTAGAACTTGAGGTTTCTCTATGTATTTTTATGGCAAATTTAAAATCAAATCCTTCTCTCTCTCTCTCTTGCATCTCTCTCTCTCTCTCTCTCTCTCTACGATGGTAAAATATATATATATATATATAAATACAATATATGTGTGTGTGTGTGTGTGTGTGTGTGTGTGTGTGTGTGTTATCAGGACGGATATATTATCAAGCAGTGTTATATATTGTTATTGAAAACCTAATAACGAAACCATAGCCTCATTTGAAGTTGAAAGTTTATTTACCAACGTCACAGATAAACGATCGATATAATCATCAAGAATATCTACAACAATCCATCTCTCCCTCCATTATAAATTATTCCTAATATTTTACGAAAACTGCTTATGATCGACACCACAGAGGTTCCTTTCTATGACCCTCAAAATTATATACAGTGGGTTATGATAAGTTTTAGCCTCCCTTGATTACAGCAATTTTGGCTTGTTTAATAACGTCTCTTCTTTTCTTCAGACAATATAATCTTCAGACTTATATTTTGCAATGAAAGTTCCTGAAAGAAGGAAATTAGTTAATTTCAACAAGGGCAAATAATAGGAAGCATCAGTATGGCAAGTCAAATAGAGAAATTGCTAGGTTTTTCCATGTTAGTCCTCAAATGGTTTAATATTGTCAAGAAATATAAAAAGGCCATTTGGAACAACGTTCAGGAAGACTAAGCGTCATGTCTGGAGTGAAAGTAAAGGCACTGAATATGAAATCAACGTCATCAGAGTGTCAAAGATGTCACCAACAGAGTGGAAATGTCGGCATATGTTGTGAGAAAGACCCTGAAAGAGCTAGGCTATAAAAGAAGAGTTGCAAGAAAGAAGGCCTTGATTTCTGACGTTAACAGGGACATGTATGGACTGAACGAGAAAATTCAAGAGCAAAAATGAATTTTGGCAGTCTGTAATTTGGTCAGATGAAAATAAATTCTGCCAATATTCTTATTCAGGTTTGGTTAAAGTTTGGAAAATCAGAATGAAACTTGGAACACTGAATATCTACAGGCGACGGTGAAACATAGAAGGATTGGAGTAATGGTGTGGGGCGCTGTCTAGTTTGGAGAGGAATCTGAGCTGATTCTTATTGACAAGCAGTTGAATGGTCCAAAATACTGTCAAATATTAGAGAAAGGACTACTCCCACTATATGAAACCAATCAGATTGACAAGAATGTCTACATTTTTCAAGAAGATCGAGCGCCATGTCATACGTGTAAAGTATCAAAGTCTTGGAAGGAATCGCAAAGTATCAAGTCTATGGCATGGGTAGCCGAAAATCCTGACATGAATCCACGTTTGGGAGCATCTTGACCGAAGGCACATTGCTAAAGAAGTGACAAAATATGACTCAGACGAGTGTTGATAACTTGATCAAATTCATGAAAAATCGAATACAAGCACTGAAACTAGCAAATAGATGACCAACTCCATAACAGTTTCAAATACTGTTTATTTATGTTGAGTTGGGATTACGTAATTAAATTTTGAAATTGGATGTAGTTTCTTTCTTCTGGCTAAAAACTTTTCTTAGGCCACTGTTTACGTACAATGTGATGGTGTTTCCATGGGGTCCATCTTGAAACCAATATTTAGAAACTTCCACATGACTAACCTAGAAAATAACGTACTTAATACCACAAAAACCCTGCATTCTAATTTTAGCCAAAAACATAGACTAAATCCATGAACTACAATAAATAAATAAGTAAATACTAAGTTTGGTATCTGTTTCTTTCATTTCTAATGGTAATGTTAATATTAGTTGTTTCTTTATAAGTAAACATTCGGCATTCAAGCTACCAATGCTATTCGAGTTACGCTTTTCTTCACCTCCTGGCCAGTGGACTGGGATCAAAGTGTAGTATCTGTTATTATTATATCTAATGGCAATCGTTATTTATAATGAATTTATTTATAATGTATTAAAAAATAAATAAATAAAATGAAAAGAAATATTAGTGATAATATTACGCCTTTCTTTATAAGGAAACATTTGGCATCCATTGGCCGATGTGCCACTATCTACGGTAATTTATAAAATCTTTATTTTAAAAACATATTTTTCAGGAAGATGGGTTTCACAAGTTCAGTAGCTCTTACTGCCTTTTCCAGTA